AGCCCTGCCAGCGCAGGGAGCCTGCGGGCCGGCCCTACTGCTCAGCAGGGTCTGAGCTTCAAGCAGGAGGTGCCTAATCCCCCTTGGCTAGAGACCTCTAAAGTTCTTGGATGTCAGGATGCCTGACCACCTGGGCCAGGAGCTCCAAAATCCCAGGGGCTGTGGGTCCCCAATCCCCTTGGGCTTGCTGTGCCTAAATCTTGTGGGCCCAGGGTCTTCACCCTCCCCAATGGTTGCTCCCAGATCCATTGGCTTGATGATCCTAAATCACTTGGGCAGATGGTGCTCGAGCCTGTTAGCTCCCGAGGACCCCAAATCCGGTAGCTGAGGCTACTGAAATCCTTGGCCTGGAGGCACTTAATCCCTTTGGACTCTTGCTCCTGAGACCCTTGGGCCAAGGGCTTCCAGACCACTTAGGCTGATGCTAAACCCTGTTCAAGAGCCCAGTGCCTAATCCTGAAGATGATGGGTCTAAACCACTCTGGCCACAGGACACCCGGTCAGCTATAGAGGAGGCTGGGGATGCCTGATCCAGCCTAAACCCGGTGGGTCCGTGGGTCACAAACCCCTAGAGCCAAAGGTGCCTTGGGCTCGGGTACCTAATCTCCTTCAGATGGTGAATCCCAAACCTCTCGCACTGGAGGATTCTCGGTCATTTCACCTGGATCCACCCAAATCCGAGGATCCAAGTCACCTGTGCTGAGGAGCCCAAATCGCTTAGGTGGGGGCACCTAATGCTCCTCAACTTGTTGATCCTCCATGTCCACGGTGGCCCGTTGCCCCCAAATCCCTGCGGGACTTAGGACATGCCCCCCCCCTACAGTACCTCAATCCCATGGATGGGGCTCCCCCTCCCAATCCCTCAGGCTTCAGGGATCTCAAATAACCTATTTTTGGGGTGTTTAAACCCCTTGGGACAGGATTTTCCCCACTTCGCCCAAAAAAGGCCTGAAGGCGTAGAGAGGTGCCGCGCTGAGGGGAGGAGAGGAGGTGGGCGGGGTCAGAGTGACGCCCCGCCTCTTTCTAGCACCGCCCCACCCTCTCGCCGACCAATGACCCGCCGGCGAGGGGGCGGG